TGTAATCTTTTTGTTTGTTTGTTTGTTTGTTTTACATATAACAAATGAATATCATAACAAAATAATATATATATATATATATAAACAAATTATAATATAATATAATATGCAACAGATCAGTAATTCATGTACATTCAAATGTAAAACCATGAAAATATTTAAAATTATTAATATAATTTAAATAATTAATTAATTAATTTATTTATATAATTTAAATTAATTAAATAATTATTATATTAATGTATAAATATACATTAAATTTTTTTGTATATATATATATATATATATAACAAAAAAACAACACCATGATTTTATAAATAACCAATAATATAATTATATAATAACAGATCAGTCATGCCAAAGTAATGTTTTTATTATTTAATTAATTTACCTCCAGCCCTGGATGCGCCACGCAGCCTGACTGCTGTCAATGTCACCGACACAAAGGTGCTGTTGCTGTGGCAACCTGCCGTGGCGACCGTGGATGGATATGTCATCACATACAGCGCAGACACTGGTGAGGAAACTCCTGCACTCTCTGTTGTGCTCTAGTTTGGGTTGCTTTATTCATGCTTGACTTGTCTGCATTGTCTCTGCTGCTGCTCGCCCTGAGTAGAGCACAAAATGATTTGAGATATTGTAATATTACGTGTCACACCGCAGGACACTGCTGTCACTGCTTGACATGTCAGCTACCCCAACATAAACCCACATCTGTTTTCACATTCAGTTACCGTGTTATCATTTCTCAGGCTCTGTCTTTTTTAGTTTTATAGAATCATTTCTGATTGATGTATTTTTCTCCACAGTGCCAGAGATATCAGAGCAGGTTTCTGGAAACACGGTGGAGTTTGAGATGAGCTCACTGGCTCCAGCAACTCAATACACTGTCAATGTTTTTGCCATCAGAAACCGAGAGAAAAGTGCTCCAGCGACCACAGACTTCACCACAGGTGAGAGGAGCTTCAGCCATTACTAGAGCTCCAGCGTCCCCTATAGACCTCATCCAATACAGCAGCACTTCTTTATTGAGCAGTTCATCTGCGGGATTCTTCAGAAACAGGGAGGAATTTGATTTAAAATTATAGTGAAATTCTGTAATGCATTATTTTTTTTTTTGCATATGATTAATATGCTATTATATGAACTTACACAATATTTTTTTTGTATTGTTTTATGTCCTATTCATTTTAATTTATTTTAATTATCTTATTATTTATAATTCTCATTATACTCATTATATTCTATTCATTATATTCATTTTCATAATTATTTTAATTATTATTTTATGTCCTATTATTTCATATGTCTTCATCGAAAATTAAAACCATTTAATTTATCACAAAAAATAATTTTCTAAATAATAATAAGTATTATTATTAGTAGTAGTAGTAGTAGTAGTAATATTAAAAGCAGGTTTAACACAGCTTTTAATGTTTTGTTTTATTTAAGAATAATTTTTTTTTTATTTTTTTAAAGAAATGTCCTGTTGTTCTATCATATGTGACCTAATTGAATAATAAAAAAAACATTTAATGTATCAAAATACAACAAATATGGAATATTTAAATCAGCATTAACACAGCTTTTAATGTTTTATATATTTTAAAGTTATTTACTGTTAGTTTCTCGTTTGTCCTGGTTGAAAAAAAAAATTATGTGCCACAAATTACTTAAAACATCCAATACAGCAGCACTTCTTTATTGAGCAGTTCATCTGCGGGATTCTTCAGAAACAGGGAGGAATTTGATTTAAAATTATAGTGAAATTCTGTAATGCATTATTTTTTTTTTTGCATATGATTAATATGCTATTATATGAACTTACACAATATTTTTTTTGTATTGTTTTATGTCCTATTCATTTTAATTTATTTTAATTATCTTATTATTTATAATTCTCATTATACTCATTATATTCTATTCATTATATTCATTTTCATAATTATTTTAATTATTATTTTATGTCCTATTATTTCATATGTCTTCATCGAAAATTAAAACCATTTAATTTATCACAAAAAATAATTTTCTAAATAATAATAAGTATTATTATTATTAGTAGTAGTAGTAGTAGTAGTAATATTAAAAGCAGGTTTAACACAGCTTTTAATGTTTTGTTTTATTTAAGAATAATTTTTTTTTAATTTTTTTTAAGAAATGTCCTGTTGTTCTATCATATGTGACCTAATTGAATAATAAAAAAAACATTTAATGTATCAAAATACAACAAATATGGAATATTTAAATCAGCATTAACACAGCTTTTAATGTTTTATATATTTTAAAGTTATTTACTGTTAGTTTCTCGTTTGTCCTGGTTGAAAAAAAAAATTATGTGCCACAAATTACTTAAAAATAATTATAAGATATAATAACAATAATACTAATATTATTTATTTTTTTATGGTTAATAATAAAATAATTTTTTTTTAAATATTTTATGCCTTGCATCTGATAATCAATACAATTTTTTTAAATCTTTTTCCAAATGTAACTACCTGCATAATAATAATAATAATGATAAACTGCTGGCCTGCTTATTTCAACACTTTTTTCTGTTTTGTCAAAAACAATTTTGTAAACAAAAATATATTCTCCCATAATGCATCAGTGAGAGAACCTGAGTTTAGGATACTTTTTACACTCAGTTTTCTTCACTGAAAATACCGTCATTCTCCTGATTCTCATAATAACGGACTGTCATTAACTCAGCTAAATGCTGTGAGAACAATGATCAATTCTAAACAATGAATGCATTCTTTATTTATTTCCAGCTCATTCACAAGTGTTGCCCCTAATACTAGCATGGTTTTGTTTTTTCATTCTAACTCATCTAATTGTCTGAATAAATGTCAGTGTAATCTGATTTCTCTGCTGTTATGTAGATGTGGACACTCCGCGTGATCTGGTTGCCAGTAATATCCAGACAGACAGCGCCGTTCTCACCTGGACGCCGCCGCGGGCCGCCATCACCGCATATATCCTGACCTTTGAAGCAGCGGACGGGGATGTCAGGGTCAGACTTTTCTCACATACTACTAACCTTCAGATGTTTATAGCTACCCACTTCTGCTATTGAGAATTGTAAGCTTTTAGTGTAATTACATAGGCCATATAAAAGGGATCGTTCAACCAAAAATCAACTTGTGTTGTTTGCAAACCTGTACGACTTGCGTTCTTCTGTGGAGCACAAAAGACATTTTTGAGGTTGAAATATCTATTTAAAACTATACCGTATACAATCCATGCAGGTTTAAAATCATATATAACTAATATAACCTATATGCATTAGTAATTTATATGGCTCAAGGCACAATTTGAGCATCTGGAGAATATTTTATAAGTATACATGAATTGCTTGATAATATATTATAATATAGTTTATAATACATATTATTTCATGTATAAAAATACTATAACATAATGTATTTATTTATTTATTTTAATTAATTAAATTAATTAACACCATAACAAAACAAAAAATATATATTTTCTTTTATTAATTTATTTTATATAGGCACAATTTGAACATCTAGAGAGTTTTGTTAATTTTGCAAATTCTAGAATTCTGTTTTTGGATACGATTAGACAACAACAACAATCATCATCATCACTATCATAATAATAATAGTCATAATACTAATCAGAATAATAATAATATGTTTTATTTGTAATGCAACTTATACTCAAAGTGCTCCAACATTACAAAAGTGATCAAAATAATATATAATATATGATGCATAACAATAATTATTAAATATTAGAAGGTGTTCAGATCATAATTGATGCATGTTCACACAGGAACTGAATCTAGAGCCGTCTGCGACCTCACACGGTCTGTCTGATCTGAGAAGCAGCACTGAGCACACAGTCCGACTGCAGGCCGTCGCTGAGGACAAGCGGAGCACACGGATCAGCACCGTCTTCAGCACGGGTCAGTCTGTTTACTACACACAACACTGCTTTTCTCCTAGCACAACCTCAGCTATATTACTCTTGATCAAACTTCCAATCACCCTTAAAGTCACCATGAAATCAAAACTGACAATTCTTACGGCAATAAGAATAAAAACAAATAAAAAAAGTGAAGTGACATGTGGCCAAGTATGGTGACCCATACTCAGAATTAGTGCTCTGCATTTACCCATCCAAAGTGCACACACACCGCAGTGAACACACACAAACCGTGAACACACACCCGGAGCAGTGGGCAGCCATTTATGCTGCGGCGCCCGGGGAGCAGTTGGGGGTTCGGTGCCTTGCTCAAGGGCACCTCAGTCGTGGTATTGAAGGTGGAAGAGAGCGCTGTACATTCACTCCCCCCACCTACAATCCCTGCCGGTACGAGACTCGAACCCACAACCTTTGGGTTACGAGTCCGACTCTCTAACCATTAGGCCACGACTTCCCCGTGGGAAAGTCCCCGTGAAAAAAAATTCCAAGGCAACGTTTCTCATTTTTGTTCAGTTTAAGCTGAAGTATTAAAATAACTAAAACTAAATAAACTAAAAATAAAAACTATTTAGACATATTTTAAAAAATCTGATACTGGCTTACTAATATCCCATTCTTATTACATTGTATTATGGTCCTGATTATTACTGTCTTCAGAATTGTTGATCAGTCATTCCTTTTGGTTTTAAATTCATGTGTTTTATTATTTCTGATTTATGTGTTTATGGTTTGATTTTAATGTACAGCACTTTGGTCACTCTTGTGGCTGTTTTCAAATGTGCTGTATAAATAAATGAACTTGAACTGATCAAAATGGCAAAAACTCATAACAAAATTAATAAAACCTTTAAAATTGAAATGAAAACAAAAAATATAACAATAAAATCTAAATCAAGACATTAGCAAAAACTACAAACAGTATATCAATTATTCTAAAATGACCATTACTGTAAATAAATCATTACTGTAATCTTTAATCAATAACATTAATGCTCCACAATAAGGAAAATACTATCACAATTATTGTGTATATATATACGAGTCGGACTCGTAACCCAAAGGTTGCGGGTTCGAGTCTCGTACCGGCAGGGATTGTAGGTGGGGGGAGTGAATGTACAGCACTCTCTCCCACCTTCAATACCACGACTGAGGTGCCCTTGAGCAAGGCACCGAACCCCCAACTGCTCCCCGGGCGCCGCAGCATAAATGGCTGCCCACTGCTCCGGGTGTGTGTTCACGGTGTGTGTGTGCCCTTAGGATGGGATAAATGCAGAGCACTAATTCCGAGAATGGGTCACCATACTTGGCCACATGTCACGTCACTTTATTATTTGCTGTCTGATTGTTGAATCAAATCCTCATATTGTGTGCAGCTGGCACGCGCTACAGGAACACCAAGGACTGCTCAGAAACTCTGCTGAACGGAGAGACGGCCTCGGGTCCGTACACCATTTACATCAGCGGAGACGAGAAGCAGCCGGTCCGAGTTTACTGTGACATGAGCACCGACGGCGGTGGCTGGATGGTGAGTCCAGATCAGCTCTTGCACCGGTTGCACCAGCTAGTTTTACAGCTTACACACTACTAAACATGTTTGCATTGCACCATTAAACTTAGTTGAAACTAACCTCTATGTATAAACTGAATGTTATAAAATAGAAGATTGAATAAACTGAATGGAATAAAATAGAAGATTGACTGAATTGCATCAATAATCTCGTTTTATTCCAGTATTTCATAAAAAATATATTTTGATTTCGTGTTGACTTTAAGAATGATTCGAACAAACCCATAACTCTTAAGTTTGAGCAGTAATATAGTTAGTTTTAAATGTGTTTCTGAATTATAAGAATACCTGTTATGCTATTCATGATTAAGTTGTATCATATTTCAATGGAAACATTTTTACCATGAGCAAGTATGGAAGCTTGTTTCTGCCACAAAAAAAAAAAAAGAAAATGTTAACTGAGGCTTTCAAGGTAACAATTCTGACTTTCTCACAATTCTAAGAAAAGAAAAAAAAGCCAAGGTCATGGGTTCAGTTTCCAGGGAATGCATGAACTAATTTCCCCTGTAAACAAATGTGTTTGTCTCCACAGGTGTTCCTACGGCGTCAGAGCGGCAAGCTGGATTTCTACAGGAACTGGAGGAACTACTCTGCAGGATTCGGCGACACGAACGATGAGTTCTGGCTCGGTGCGACTCGATTTTAACAGGCCAAAGTCATTACAACACTAAAATCTACTCAATCTGGGTTTACTGACGCAGATGGTGCATCTTTGTCTTTCAGGACTTTCAAATCTTCACAAAATCACCTCAGCCGGTCAGTACGAGTTGCGCGTGGACCTGCGTGACGGACAGGAGAGTGTGTTTGCAGTCTACGATAAATTTTACATCGCAGATCCTCGGTCCCGCTACAAGATCCAGATTGGTGCATACAGTGGTACCGCAGGTAAATTCCATATACATTATGCATTTGGTATACACTATTATCCAATGGAATACATATTACACTCTTAAAGGGGTTGTATGCTCTTTTAGAAAGTCTTGATTTTGTTTTGGGGGTGTACTAGAAGAGGCTCTCATACTAGATTGTTCGAAAAACACATTATTTTTCACATATTTTACATTATTACAACACCTCTCTCCCCAGTCTGGCGTGAACGGCTCGAATAGTTCCTGGATCAAATGAAGGTCCGCCTTCTGAAATACGAAATGTGCTGTGATTGGTTAGCTGGGCCAGTGTGTGCTGTGATCGGTTAGCTGGGTCAGTGTGTGCTGTGATCGGTTAGCTGGGCCAGTGTGTGTGTTGTGATCGGTTAGCTGGGCCAGTGTGTGTGTTGTGATTGGCAGCACTCGGCACCTGGTCGGGAAATGTTACGCCCCTTACCGTAGCCGCCTGCCAGCTTCAGTGTAAATATTGCGTCAAAATCAAATCAATTTGAGCACGATTTAAACCCGGATGATTGTAACCACTCTAAGTTCGTCTGCCTTGTGAAAACTAGCGCGTCTCCGTCTTAGTGATAACACTCGTTGCCTTCTCTAGTGCAGCTCAACCAGGTCTCGTCCCATTCGTCGATATTTGTGATATCACAAATCCCGGAAAATATGCGTTGTAGTCCAAACGAGTCGTTCGTTGTAGTTTTTGAAAAGTGATTTCTGTTAAATAAAATATCTCCTTTTGAAGTGCACTTTGAGCTTTGTAACTTTTTTATGCTCAAACAGCAACATTACAAACTAACTAAAGTTGAAAAAGTGAAAAAGCATAATAGCACCCCTTTAAAAATAAAGGTTCCAAAAAGAGGCGATGTCATAGAAGAACCATTTTTGGTTCCAAAAATAACTTTTTAGTGAACAGTTCTTAAAATAACCATTTTTCTTAGTGTGAAGAACACTAATTATCTAATAAAGCAATAAGCCCCAAGAAGCCGTGTTTTACAGTGAATTTATAACAGCTAAGGGGCATTGTTAGGAACGACGTGAAGCGAAGTGCCTAAAACCCCCTTAGCTGTTATAAATTCACTGTAAACCACGGCTTCACGGTGCTTATTGCTTTTATAAAACGGTTATTCCATATACGTAGTTAGGTTTCACAAAATAAAACAGATCAAACAAAGTGTAATGATATTAATAAAAACAGTATTCTTCCACCAAACAATGTAGCTCCTCAGAAACAGTTGCGGTTGCAACAAAGTGGTTGCCGAGCAACACACAAAGTCAACAAAGGTGTATGTTTGTAGAGTAATTTACAACAGCTTCGAACGCAGCTCAACCAATCAGAATCAAGGACCGGAACTCTCCGTTTTCTAAAGAACATTTTTTCACTATAAAAACTTTTTGTACAATAGAAAAGTTCCATGGATGTTAAAGGTTCTTCATAGAACCATCAATGCCAATTAAGAACCGTATCTCATGCAAATATGATGGTCATAAGGTCATTTCACCCTAGAATACATGCATACTTCATGATGCATCGTTCTTAAATGAGTGACACTATTTCATACCCAATGTTGGCAAAGGTTTTGTAATATTTAGCTTGTAATATTGTGTCTTTGTGTCTCTCTTTAGGTGATTCCTTGTCATATCACCAGAACAGACCCTTCTCCACCTATAACAATGACAATGACATTGCCGTCACCAACTGTGCCCTGTCCTACAAGGGAGCGTTCTGGTATAAAAACTGCCATCGAGTGAACCTGATGGGGAAATATGGAGACAGCAGTCACAGCAAAGTAAGTCATATTCTCCAATATTTTGGCCAATTACATTTTATATCAAAATGAATTTTACTGTTTTTTTTGTTTTTTTTAATTTTTAAAATAAAAGTTCAATAACAAACATGATCTGACTTTTCTCAGTAAAATAGACAAAAATATACATACTTTACAATAAGGACCCATTAGTTCATGTCAGATAATGCATTACCTAACAATGAGCTGCACATTTGTCCTGGTATTTATTAATTAACAGTATTTATTCATTTTGTTAATAAACATACAACTGTTCATCATTAGTTCAGCTCCATTAAATAATATGAACAGATACAACTTTTGATTTGAATAATGTATCAGAAAATTTTAAATAAACATTGATTAAGATTAGTTCCATCTAAAACTAAAACTATTAAACATTTTTGTTACTTGAAATAAAGCTGAAATAAGATAAAATAAATATTAGATGAATTACTTATTTAACTGGTTTCAGTTTCTAGTTTTCGTTTAGTTTAAGTTAGTTTAAACAGTAAAATTACTAAATCAAAATTAACATTGGACTAAAACTAAAACTGAAATAAAAATAAATTAAACCTAAATGGTAATATTTAAAATAAACATAAAAAAACGACAGAAGCACATAACAAAATTACTAACAATGTAATTAAAATTACAATAAAAAAAAATAAAAGCTAATTCAAAATATTAATAAAAACTGTAATAGTATATAATTAATACTAAAATAACATTGGTTTATTCATGTTAACTAATGTAGTTAATAAATGGAACCTTATTAAAAATAAAAGCTCATTCAAAAAATTAAAAAAAAAAACTATAATAGTATATAATTAATACTAAAATTACACTGGTTAGTTCGTGTTAACTAATGTAGTTAATAAATGTTAATAAATGGAACCTTATTGTAAAGCGTTACCAGTATAGCTTAATATTAAGAGGATAGATTTGCATCATAATAATCAGCGGTCTAAATGAAAGTGTAATTAGTAAAAAACATAATTTTCCCTTGGAAATATAATCCATAAAACGTCGTCCAAGTCCTCAGGTTCAATAATGCTCGAGTAGATAAAAGTACAATTTCCCCCAAATAATATTCAACTACAATAATTAAAATATATTTAAGTACTTTATACCCTCTCATATACAACACTGAAATGTTTTGTAACATACTGAATTTAAATGAAAGTATTTTAATTCACAGGGCATCAATTGGTTCCACTGGAAAGGCCACGAGCATTCGATTCCATTCGCGGAGATGAAGATCCGGCCAGTCAATTTCAGAAACTTGGAAGGCAGACGGAAAAGATCATAGACTTTAAATATCCCTCTTTCTCTTTTCCCCAAAATCCCACACATCTCTCGTCAACAGCCCGTCTCCCGTCACAGACAGATACGATTAAAACTCCTGAGTGAAACAGTTTTAGCCATTCGAACATTGCCTTCCATGTCAACATTATTAGACCAGTGAACGCCAGCGAATACGGCTTCTTCAGACCTTTGATATGTCAGAAACAGCCGTGATTGGTGGAGGGTAACAAACCTCCATATTTAGAATGATTAAAGGAAATATTCAATGATCTTGTACAGATTTTATTTCAGAGGAGGAAGTGTCTTCGAGACCAGTGCTGTCATTTCCTCATCATTACCACGCTCAGGTCTGACATGCGGTAGTCAGGATGGTGCAAATAAATGTGTTCATTTTGTCAGTTTTCAAAATTAAAGAATCAAATTTCAATGTGATTGTTTTCTTTCCCCCCATAGAGTCCTCGGTATCTATAATCCCTAAAAAGTGTTGATTAACCCTCTGGGGTCCGAGGGTGTTTTGGGCCCTGGAGAAGTTTTGACATGTCCTGACATTTGTGCTTTTTTCAGTTGCTAATAAACATTTTAATGGCCAAGTTTAGTAGCACCATAATCAGCACAAACTGGGCTACAATAATATGTGGGCAGCATGTATGTATGTGATTGTGTTTTTGAGAAAACAACGTTTATGCGTGCTTAGTGAAAAACTAAAATTTTAAAGTCACTGAAATAAGGCCATAAAACACATACAGAACATTTGTTCACAAGACTATTGAGAACTGGATCTTGAAGTCTAGAGTTTTTTCTTCAGAATGATGTGAAAATCATCTTGTTTACTCACTCACAGAAAACAATATATTGATTTAAATTTTCTAAGACACTTTTTGTGTAGAAAAGGAATATGCGAGGGGGCGTGAATGGTCATGTATAATGAGTGATTCACACCTGAGAAGACAAAGGCCTGCATAATAAGCTGCATAGTGAGCCTTTCAGTCAGGTGTGTGACTGAGAGGGAATTGCTACAAGAAAGAATGAGGAAAAAAGAAATGTATCTATTTTTAGTTTGTAGTTTATTTCGAATATATATAACTATCACATCATTTTGGGAGTGTGTGCATAACATGATCTTAGCTTAACTTGATCTCTTCTCCTGAAATGTGTCTAAAATTGATCAACAAAATAGGAAATAAAAATGTAATTTGTAACGTTGGGATTTTTTATGTGTTGTCAAGTTCTCTTTACCTATCCAGAAAAAAAAAATCATAATAATAATTAGTAATTCTCACAGAGAAATTCGTTTTTTAACAATAATACAATTATAATAACTTTTATTATAAAAACAAAACTTTTAATAAATAATATATAAAATAATAGTTCATTAATATTATATTATAATAATATAATTAATAATAATGAATTGTTAAAACACACACACACACATATATATATATATATATATATATATACAAACACATATATTATGTAACATAATACATATATATAATTATTAATTGTTAAAAACCAAAATTCTAATTGAGAAATATTTTTTTTATTAATTGTTTTATTAATTATCATTCAGAAATGTATTTCTAATACAGCCAGCAATGTTAATTACGCATAATAACAACATGTGCGTGTTTGTGACAGTGTAATTCTAGCCTTGATGATGAGTGTAATACCAAGCGACTAAGCAGACCATGACGTTTGAGATTGTAAAATATCAACAGTAGCCATGATCAAGGTTTGTGAAATGTTAATTTTTATGTTTTATGACAAATTTCGCATCTTCCATAGAAACATACTTGAATAAACTTAAAAAAAGATAGAGGTACAGGAAAAACATCTTTCTAAATAGTGGAAAAAAACTGTGAGCTATCAAAATCAAAGTGTGGCATTAATTATTGTAGCTCAGTTTTTGGAACATACAGTACATTTAGTAACTTCTGTTAGCCCGAATAATTATTCAGTGTATTAAATTGTTCATTAAAAGTAATAAAATATTTTGAATCAGCAGCCCATTGTTATGAATTGTACAAATCTGCGGGTATATAATTTGCAGTGTAATATACTTGAAAAATTAGCTGGAAATTTCACCTGGCACGAATCTCAATTTAAAGAAAAAAATAATAAAGTGAAATTAAGTTTTTGTTTTTATAAAATTCCGTTTTCATTAAAGGACAGATCGTTATCTAATAACTCTTAACAACACTATGCATATTTGGCACAAATAATGTCACAGAAACACAGTATAACATATCTTTTTAATGTCTGGTATCATCTATTTCATCCCTTTTAAGAAATGCCCTAAAACTGAGCTTCATCAGTATTGCAGTTTATAGATCCTCAGCTTTGAGATGAACTATTTCTCATATCGAGCGATCAGATTTAGTTTATCGCAAGGCATCGCATGTACAAATTAATCTGTACTTCCGACAATTTACTAAGAAGAAGTGAAAATTAGTTTTAAACCACCATGACTGCACATGTACAGCTATATAAATAATATGCATTAAATATAATAAAATAGATGTAAACTGTATATACATTTACTGTATAAAGATCCCTCACTTTGAGAGCTTATGGTTATATATAAAGATACATAGCGATTGCTTATATAGTATGAATATATCAATATCTGCTTTTATTTTTAAGAATAGAAGCAGTGTATCATATAAAATAATAATCATGTTTAATATTTATTTTATTCATCTCTAAAGTATGTCAGCAGTGGTGTCATCACTCACTGGATGAGAAAACTGTTTATGATAAATATCATGTGCATTTGCAGATTGAGGCCTCTCATGCACAGAGAAGTTTCAATAGTTGTCATAACTGGTTTAAAATCAGTGGATTCTGGTTAACTAGTTACACCCCCAATGCCAAATATAAAAGAGAATTGTATAGCAAAAGTTTTCAAATGCTTGGTCCTGTGTAAACATCTCAGTTTACACTAGAAAATACGCAAACTGCCTCGTACGTCGTTTGGCAGTGAGAAGAATTTAAAAAGAATAGAATATAAACTCGCACTCCATAAAGCCAACAAGCACTACAAACTCAAGCTCCGATGTACCATGTAAACTGTATAAATATTCCTATTTACAAAAGTAATAACAAGACTTCTCATCGTTTCTTATAAATATACAAAATGCAACGTAATAACTTGAATATTCATGTGCACAGGACTCCTGCCTGGGACCGTTTATTTCACAGACACCTACGGTACCATTTTTACCTTTAAACGTCAAACTATCTTCCACAGATGTATCCAAACACCAATTAAAGGAAATCCACGATCATGACCCTCACTATACTTACTGTATGACAATTAAAACCCCTTTGACGCTTAAAATCACTACAGGAGCACAATTTATCCACTTAGCAATGACGTTTCCAAAATAAAGTGTGCTGGCCACATTTCATGGTTTTCGACATGCAAATTGCAATTGATAAAAATGCTAATCAGCGTGTTTGTTTATTAAATTGTCTAATTAGAGGATGCATTCTGTTACTGATAATATTAACGCATTTTACCGTGATTAAATCCATTTTCCACCTACAGTAATTAGTACAGTAAATGCAAAAAAAGTGAAGAGCTTAAAGGAATAGTTGCTGAAAATGTCCTCACCCTCAGGCCATCCAAGATGTAGATGAGTTTGTTTCTTCATCAGATTTGGAGAAATGCAGCATTGCATCACTTGCTTAGCAATGGATGCTCTGCAGTGAATGGGTGCCGTCAGAATGAGAGTCCAAACAGCTGATAAAAACATCACAATAATCCACACCACTCCAGTCCATCAGTTAATGTCTTGTGAAGCCAAAAGATGCGCATTTGTAAGAAACAAATCCATCATCAAGACGTCTTTAACTTCAAACTGTTGCTTCCGGCTTTGAAAAAAAAAATCCATAATCAATAAAAATAGTCCATAATCCGTAATAATGCTTCCATTAGTGAAAAGTCCATCTCCTGTTGTCCTCTCACATCACAATCCACCCACATATTTGTTTAGAATTGTTTGTGAACTGAGCTTGATCTGTGCATATTTCTCTCCTGATTCAGACCAGACAACATTATTATGGATAGAGGACTCGTTTGAAGTTAAAAACGCCTTGATAGGTTTGTTTCCTACAAATGTGCAGCTTTTCACTTCACTAACAAGATGTTAACTGATGGACTGGAGTGGTGTGGATTACTTGGGGATGTTTTTATCAGCTGTTTGGACTCTCATTCTGACGGCACCCATTCACTGCAGAGGATCCATTGGTGAGCAAGTGATGCAATGCTACATTTCTCCAAATCTGATGAAGAAACAAACTCATCTACATCTTGCATGTTCTGAGGGTGTGTCAAATTTTCATCAAATTTTCATTTCTGGATGATCTATTTTGCATTATGATCTACACTATGTAACTGGACCGGACTTCACGTTCAATTCCAGTGTTGCATGACCCTTTTGCCTATTATAGAGCTCTACTGACCCTTTCTGGAACTGTGCATCAGTGCAACATTTGTGACAGCTTAACACATGCAGGGAAACGTGTCAAAACAGACGTCATGGAATAAATCTCCTGCTGTGGTGAAGCAGACCCTGCGTCAGGGGCAGCGTCTAATCATGTCGTACGAAAGTAGAAAACCTAAAGGCCAGTGAGATCCACGATGGCTTTGATGAAGATGGTGTCGTCACGTATGTATGAGTTCTTGCCCTCCAGCTTGGACAGCGGACAGAAGAGCGGGCAGCCGCTGGCGATGTTCATCTCGCTTACAGGCCTCTGGAATGAGGAGGAAGTGATGTCGGGACGGAAAGCATCGATGATGTGCTCTCTGTTACTCTGGTCCAGCAGCATCAGTGTGACCTGGAAGAAAGTAACTAACTTCAGCTCACAAACACATAACAACGCATGCATTTTGGGCTAGGTTAGGCTGGTTCATTTCGTTTCCCCCACCTGCATGGCTTTGGTTACACCACAGAACGTTAGTACTATTCTTAATATTAAAATAGACATCAAGTATTTAATTTAAATACATGACATTTATTAGTTCATTTTTAATTTATTATTATTGAAACAGACATCATGGAATAAATCTCCAGCTGTGGTGAAGCAGATCCTGCATCAGAGGCAGCGTCTAACCATGTCGTACGAAAGTAATAAACATATATATATATATATAT